ACACACATCACATTGTTAATGGACATCACATTGTTAACACACATCACATTGTTAATGGACATGACATTGTTAACACACATCACATTGTTAATGGACATGACATTGTTAACACACATCATATTGTTAACACACATCACATTGTTAACATCCATCACATTGTTAACACACATCACATTGTTAATGGACATGACATTGTTAACACACATCAAATTGTTAACAATATATGTAATATTAAGGAAATTCAAGGATCACAAAAATACACAGAGAAAAGATTGTTGTGTTACTTGTAGTTCGGTTTTTTTAAGGATTGTCGTGTTACTTGTAGTTCGGTTTTTCTTTAAGGATTGTTGTATTACTTGTAGTTTTTTTAAAGGATTGTTGTATTACTTGTAGTTCGGTTTTTCTTTAAGGATTGTTGTATTACTTGTAGTTTTTTTTAAAGGATTGTTGTATTACTTGTAGTTCGGTTTTTTTAAGGATTGTTATGTTACTTGTAGTTCGGTTTTTCTTTAAGGATTTTTGTATTACTTGTAGTTCGTTTTTTTTAAGGATTGTTATGTTACTTGTAGTTTTTTTTTTAAAGGATTTTTGTATTACTTGTAGTTCGGTTTTTCTTTAAGGATTTTTGTATTACTTGTAATTTTTTTTAAAGGATTGTTGTATTACTTGTAGTTTGGTTTTTTTAAGGATTGTCGTGTTACTTGTAGTTCGTTTTTTTTTGTTGAAAAAATATATCGAATTAGCACTGTCAAAAGAGCTATGTTCCGTAACAGAGTTAACACTGTCAAAAGAGCTATGTTCCGTAACAGAGTTAACACTGTCAAAAAGAGCTATGTTCCGTAACAGAGTTAACACTGTCAAAAGAGCTATGTTCCGTAACAGAGTTAACACTGTCAAAAAGTGCTATGTTCCGTAACAGAGTTAACACTGTCAAAAGAGCTATGTTCCGTAACAGAGTTAACACTGTCAAAAAGAGCTACGTTCCGTAACAGAGTTAACACTGTCAAAAAGAGCTACGTTCCGTAATAGACTTAACACTGTCAAAAAGAGCTACGTTCCGTAACAGAGTTAACACTGTCAAAAAGAGCTACGTTCCGTAACAGAGTTAACACTGTCAAAAAGAGCTACGTTCCGTAACAGATCAGCGTTAATTTCGATAGGAATCCTTTGTTGTTGTTGTTGTTGTTTTTTCAAGATGTAAAATGAAATCCAACAAGTGTGATGAAAATTATCGTCCCAATTCCAGCAGAACTAGTTTCACAGCCGTCTGTAATTCGTTTTGATATTTGCTGGATTCCATCGTGATTCGACCTTCTAGTTCGTACCCAGTCAACTGTGCAGGAATCGCTTGCCTTAAGATTTGTCCCTATTCAGGGCCGGAAGCATGGTGGACAATAGAACAGGCTATTTGTCAGAGAATGGTATGCATTTCCGTTCCCCGACTGTTTTTCGACCCTGAGGCGGATGCAAGCAGGAGAGGATCTATTTTGGCGCGACCAGTCACGCTCAAAGCTTTCGCTGGGGTTGTGTTGCCTTGTGGGGTGGGACTGAATCTTGTTTTCAGCAGTTCCTTCAACGTTCAGTTTCTAACAAGAAAGAGTCAACGAAACGTTGTGTGTGTGTGTGTGTGTGTGCTGGCTTCTAACTCACCAGTTCTCATTGTCAGAACAAGTCCGAAACAGAATGAAGAACAGGTAAGGACGAATTACTGGTGTATTTATTTGATTTTTTGGAATAGTACAAGTTACATTTTAAAACAAGTTATGAACTGGCTAATTTTGGGAAACACCCAAATACAACTAAAAAGTTATTGATTTCGAAACTAATCTTGTATATGAGAGGGTTTTTGAAGTTAATGAATAGGGTGTGTGATTGAGAACTGTGACTGATGGAGGTCTGAACGCAAATGTAAATTGTTGTTTACATATATAAATGATGCTTGGGTTTATTAGTTTGTTTGTATATCCGCGTTGTGTCCTCCGCGGAGATCCAGCCTCGAACTATAGCATCATAAATTATTCACTGCTAAGCTGCTGGAGAACTTTATTTTACACGTAAGTGAATGGGTCAAATAACCTGCACGTTCTAAGTACTGACTCGAAATTGTATTATAATATTTAAAGTTATGGTAAGTAGCATCTTTTAAGCTGGGAATTTGATTTAAATATTATATTCAAATTGTTCATACATAGATATTATTTCTGGTTCTTCAATCCAGAGTTTCGGCGTATTTAACTTTCTGTTTTACATGGGAATATTTTATTGTCAGCTACATGTCGTTAATTAAAATATACAGTCAGTTGTAAAGCCAGTTTTAAAAAGACTAGGTCTCCATAATCTGTCGTTAATTAAAACATGGAATCAGTTGTAAAGCCAGTTTTAAAAAGACTAGGTCTCTGTCGTTAATTAAAACATGCAATCAGTTGTAAAGCCAGTTTCACAAAGACAAGGTCTCCATGGTTTGTTTAAACATAACTGCTGCTTACAAATGTTTGTACAGTGATAATATATATTTACTAATGTTTGTCTGTTGATTTTGCTTGCGTCTCATAAAAAAGTCCTAAATCTAACAGTATCAATTTTCTTCACGCTTAAATAGTTTAGTGAAACTATGGGAACTTCATTACTTAAATTATACTACACCAATTACAAGCTCTATTCGATATCGTTCCTAGATCATGCTCGGTGAAAAATTCTACGACAAGGAATCTTTAACAAAGATCACTTTGAGTTTGTAAAAGTCTATTGTCAAAAACTGACACTTGAAGAAAAAAACATGAACAAAGACCACGTGATTTTGTTTGTGTTTTTTTTTCTTTAAAACAAAAACGTGATGAATGTAGGGCCACAACAGAGAGACCGAAACGTTAGCTATTTAAACACCGACTGAAACGTCGTCCTGTCCAAGAAACATCTGCTCATTTAGTAACACCATAGACAGTGAAATATATTCTTTTCAAGAAACAGGGCACATGGACCGAACCGTTGTGAAACTCAAGAAACAGGGCACATGGACCGAACCGTTGTGAAACTCAAGAAACAGGGCACATGGACCGAACCGTTG